TGCTGAGGAGGTTCTTCCCATGGCTGCTTTTGCCTTGAGGCTTCTGAGCTCTAGGTGAAGACCAAAAAAAAAGAGTGACTGCTAAAGTGGTGACTAGGATCACACAATAATTTCACCAGTGATCAGAGCTGCAGGTTATGAGCTAGTGTCTCAGTGACAGGGAAATACACCCATGAGGTACAGTCATTAAAAGGAAATGGAACAGGTTCAACATAGACAGCTGTGCTCCCTTTGAGCTTCTGGGACACTGGTTCCTCTGAAGTGGAGGTGGCTGCTGCTGCTGAAATTTCATTTTGATTCCTTCTCAGCAGAGTCCACTGCCCTCAAAGGAGAGCTGTGATGGACAAGAGCTTAGAGGGATGAAGACAGGAAGAGTTTGTCCACTCCCATCCCAAAGATTTAGAGGCTTCAGGAAAGGCAAGGAGCCAGAAATAAAGTGAAATATCCTCAATGAATAATTCATTGGCTGGAAAGTGGTTTTTTGGGGGAAACTGAAGCTATACAGGGATTTGGACAAATTCAGCTGAAACACTCTCAGCCATAAAAAAGATGGATAGGAGGGAAATATACAAAACTCTTGAAATACCTTGCAATATCTTGTTTCAACCATCTGGATAGATTCCTTTAAAAGCCACATTCAAAGATTTGGGAGTTTTGTCTCAAAATCTGTCCTTTTCTTCTCTCCTCTGCTTCTTTCCTTTTCTCCTTTTACTTTTCTTTCCTTTTCCCTAACTTTAAAGAGCAAATGTTCTAGAAGGTGTTAATTTATCTGAAAATGAAATTTATGTTGATTTGTACTTTTATGCACTATTTTTTTGATCCTTTCTTGCTTGCTGGGATTGTCTCAGAGCTTTGACAGCATTGAGAGATGTCTGGTCAGAGCATCTCCTCTTCCTGAGTTCTGTCACAGGTTTCAGAGTAGTCGTGTTCAGTGAAGCTGCTAATTGCACTCTTTCTAGGAAAACACAGAAATACAGCTTGTGTTTGCAAATCTCTGCTGTATGGATTGGAGGATCTGCACACAGAGGAGGTCTCTGGCTCCAGGAGGAGGTGGAGGAGGCTGGTTTTGGTGAAGTTCACATGCCTGGTGCTGCCTGTGCTCCCTGGTGAGCCTCGGGGATGGGGCACTCTGTTGCATCCCTACCAATGCACATAAAGCATCTTGTTGGTCAGTCCCAGCAGGGAGTAGGACACCTTTTTGGGCAGGAAAGCTGACATGTTAGTGAAGTGCTTGACTAGAGTCATCTCCCAAGAAACAGAAGCTTCAGAAGGTTCAAGAGCTCTGTGAGACACAGTTCAGTTGTGTACTGGATAAATCATGTAGAATGGTGATACAGGAAGATCCTGGCAGCCATTTTTCTTAGATAATACTGGTTTTTCCCATTAGAATTACTTTCTAATGCAACCTAAACGTACCATGATGTTACAGCTGAAGCAATGTGAGTAATTCAGTCAATTAATTAGGTGTGGGTAGCATTTGCCTTTCACTGTAAAGGGATCAGAGGAAAACACTTAATAGCTTTTATGTTCTTGTTCTGCTCCATACCTTAGCATCAGTTCATTCAAATAATCTGGCCCAAATAAATTATTATTATATTATTCTTTGATGAACATTTCTACCCTGCATCAACATCATGATATGAAAGTTAACACATGCTGCTTTGTAGTAACTGGAAGTGGACAGAATTGTCACATGATTGAGGAGCTCCCAGATAGCTCTAAACCTCTGCCCTTCCTCCATGGAGTAACTCCTCATTTCTTCTTCCTCTGCCCTGGTATTTGCAGGAAAAACTTGTACAGAAAAGCTGAGAGGGAGATCCCACAGACAGACTCAGGTCTCCAGCACTTGTGGGTGATAATGTGTCCAGATGAAGGAGCTTGAATGGAAAATGACTGGAAGGGGAGCATTAACCCAGAGAAGAATTTGAATTGGAGTTTGTGGATACTTTTGTTTTTATTTGTGGTCTTTTCCTGTATAACTGTTGTGGTTTAGTATTGGGGCCTTTTCAGAAAGAATGGGCTCGGAGGATAAAAGACAATTTTTCCTTTGACTTTATTATTGCCAAGGTTTTCCTCTGCATCCCTGAAGAATTTATATTAGAGAGGTTTATTTTACTGACAGTTTATTAGCAGGATTGGCCCCTTGTTGAAAGCACAGTGCAGTTCATGAGACTGAATAAGGTAAAATAAGATGAAGTTGTAAGGAATTAGGTGGCATGTGGGCACTGAATATTTTTTCCTCTGTGCTAAAGGTATTGACTTTGGTAATTAATTGCTTTGTGAACTGAGTCATTAGAAATGACCCAGACATTGCTAATACTGTCAGCTAAAAATAACACATGAAATGTACACATCCTGGGGAGACTCTTCAAGTTTGAGATACCAAGTTGTTTCAATAGCCTGGACTTTGATTTTATTTGTCTGTGGCCATGCATGGAGTAAAGGCAATTAAATAATCTCAATGACATAAATATATTTTTTTTTCTTTAGAATGACATATTTTCTTTTTCAGCTACTTAATACAATGTAATATTGTTAAAGACTAGAAGACAAGGAGCAGTGATGCTTTATTAAATTCACAAAGTCCTTTGCCTAGGATATTGCTCCACTCAAAAGATTTTTCTGCTTGAAATCAGTGAGAGTCATTTCATTCAAGAATTTGACAAATGGTAGTGCTGTACACATCAGAAGGAATGAAATCTTTTAGGAGATGTAGTAATAACAGGGAGATAGTTGCACAGCTGGTTTTGGTTGCATCTCTGATAGCAGGATCTCTGCACTGCCCCTTCCTACCACGCAGAAGCCAGTGTAGGTGTGTGGCTGTGGCCAAACGTGTGCCACAGGTACTGGTGAGCTGGTGCACTGACCTCTCTTCGGGTGCCACAGTTCCTTCTGCTGAAGGATTTTGAAAGAACAGAGCGGTCTTTCAAATAAAGGCCATCCCTGATCCACATCTGTGTATGTGAGCATGAGAGACAGCCGTCTGAAATGACTTACTCTTGTAACTCTGGTCTCCATTCCTGGGAGAAGTAAAGGAGAAAAATGCCAGAAGTGGAAGACAAAGAATGGAAAACCCAGAGACAGCAACGATGCCTATATTACCTGGGCTGACATGGCTTTTTCACAGGTTGCATTTCTCAGTCTGTAGCCTGAGCTAATGCTAACTGTACTATATTTGGTGTTTCAAACCCCAAACTTGCACACCAGCCCTTCATAATGTAACTCAGTCACTGATATACATGTATAATACATGTATAATACATGGGAAGATTTAAAAAACACACCGTGTTTTCTACAAAAAACTGGATGTAGAGGCAAAACTAGAGAAAAAATAATTGAAAAAAAACCTTGATAATCAGCAGTGAGATATGGAGATGTTTAGATCTTGTATTGCAAATTCTTGTCCTTACAACTAACACTTGCAGCAGTGTATGTGAAGCTTCTACACACAGGTGGTCTTGGACGTACACACAAGCTCTTTCCCCAGCTGGGTCATGTCCTTTTAGTGTCCAATTGTGTGTATCCAGGCAAGATGGAACGAGAAGAGAATAATTTGACTGTTTTCCCGTACTGCGTACCATATGCCTCATGATATGCCTATGATATGCCTATGATCTACTAGTGCCACGTGGACATGGTTAGCTGACCATCTGCTTGGCACTCCTTGTGGTGTATTAAAATATTTAAATCAGTTCAGATTGAATACTGGGTAGTACAGACTGGATTAGCTATGGTTATACCCATTCTTCAGTCCAAAGGCATCCATTTGCTAAGGTGAACAGCAGTTTATTATAGTTTCCAAAACAGTTGCCTTCTTCAGTACCAAGCAGTGTGTAATGTCTTGAAACAGTTATTCTTTCGTGTTATATGCAGGACATGATCACAGCACTTCAGGAGGGCAGTAAAAACTTGCATGGATCATGTGGATGTTTGTTTTCATTAAGCCGAATTCCAGAAAACAGCAACAAAGTTGAGAAAAGTGCTTGTTTTGTTTTGGTGTTTCGTTTTGGTTTTTTTTGCTTTTTAATTATCTCAATCCCAGCTTGCATTATCTTCCAGAAATTGCAGTATTGGATCCAGCTGGAAATGACTGCAGTATTATTTTGCCATAGCACTAAAGCATTTTGTCTGGAAGTTCAGCTATTTAGTTTATATGTCCCTCTTGAAGCCTAATGCTCAAGAGCTCTTCATTAGAAACATCAATGGTATTAAATGGAAATGGATCTTGCATGATGATATAAAAAATCAGACAAGTAATGCAGTATCCAGTTGGTATAACGTTTCCATTGTAATGCATTTCCTGTAACTGTGAATTCCTTAACATAGAGGAGGGTAACTAAAATAACACAATATATTTATTTTACTACTTAGAGCTTTAATGAACTTCAGCAAAATAGTTTCAACAGAGTGTTTTAAAAGCTCTGTTACCTTGTGCACACTGACCTGGGTCCTGCAAACAATTACATTTGGGCACACGCTTGCTGACTGCCAATGGCCAGCTTGTGTGTGTAAAGTGAAACATACGTGTGTGTACATGTAGAGATCAATGTCTTACTCTAGTTGGGAAAATCTGAAACATTTTAACCAAAGGGGTAGATTTTGCAGCAAGACTACAAAATCAAGCAGATAAAGCCTTTTGCTCTGCCACTGACTAAAGGCTCATTGAAAAGGAAACTGCCAGGTGTGCCATGTGAACTTGGCCACAGTTGCCATCCCCCAGCGGGTTGGGGAGGCTCACGCCGTGGTGCTTCACTGTGCACAGCCCTGCTGATTGCGGTAGGAGCTCTCCTCAAAGGAGGTGCCTCAGTTCTGGGCCAGGGTGAGAACCAGTCCTGCAGTGCCAGTGTCTGAATTCACTCTTGCTGGTTTGTCCTGCAGCTGGCCATGTCTGAATTCATTCTCGCTGGTTTGTCCTGCAGTGCCAGTGTCTGAATTCACTCTCACTGGTTTGTCCTGCAGCTGGCCATGTCTGAATTCACTCTTGCTGGTTTGTCCTGCAGCTGGCCGTGCCACACAACGACGAGTGGACGCGCTTTGCCCGGACCTTGGTGGAGATCCGCGCCAACCGAGCCGACAGCGAGGAGGAGGGGGCGGTGGAGCTCTCGGCGTAGAGGGAGAGGAGCAGCGCCCGCCAGAGCTGCAGCTTCCCCCCACGGGTGCGCCAGTGCTCGGTGTCACATCAGTCCTGCTGTGGCTTTTGATGCCAGTGTACATGCCAGTATTGCTCAAAGCATTCCATGTTAATCACACTGCTTTACACAAGGCTGAAAATATCCAGAGCATTTTCATACTTTATATTTCTGTCTGAAAAGTAAGAAAGAAAAGACAAATCAACCCTTTATGGGTTTAGTTGCTGCTTTTTAACTACTTAGTAGCTGTATTTAATAGCTAGGAACCCCTGGTTAAACTTGTGCTCACATTGCCCTTCTGGCATAGTCCTATTAAATCCATATGAAGCCAGATATGATTATGTGCAGATGTGGTGTGCTTCACTGTATGGGACTGGGCCAAAGACTTTAGATGTGGTGTATCACATGGTGACTTACATTATGAATGGATGTACTATACGAAAGTTGCTGCTCCTTATTTATTGCGGTGTGCTGCATGGAACATATTTATTTGAAAGCATTAAAATAAACGATCCTAAAGCATGTGCATAATGAGAGAACTGCATTGTCTGTGTGCTGCTGTAGAGGTTACATTAAAGTCCACGTAACAATTACAGTACATCAGTTGTGCTTAAGATGTAAGATCTATACTGGTTGGCTTGAGTGGATGGAATGAGCTCCCTTTCCTTTTTTTTTAAGATGCCTATTATTTCTAGGCACTTTAACTATATTTCAGACACAGTTGGTCACTGATACTTGTCATGCAAGTTAACACTAATAGTCTGACAGAGGGTTGTGGTTCCCAAGTATGACACCAGTATTGCCAATAAAATGTATCAGGCCTGTTCTGTTGCAGTGTGGTTGATCTTTCTTTGCCAGCAGTGCTCAGCATGTTCATTACCAGTCACTGGTGAGGCACTGGGTAAATGTGACTGCCCTGATGCACAGAAAACTCATGTAGCTCCTCTGTAAATAGATAAGATAGTCCCTTCAGCATTGGATCTGCCCAGTAATGGACCTGCGTGGATCAGACCCTGATACTAATTTTCCATGGGCAAGCACTAAGCTTTGCATGTCAGCTTCTGGGCTAATTTTTATTTTCCCTCCATGCTTACCTGCACGTACATGCACACACAGAGCAGCAGCATGCTGCCATATGCACTGAAAGAAAAGGAGCAGGAGAGATAAGGCCTCCTTAGACTGTCTTGAGAGACAGGTTGGGACAGGGGACAGAGGAACGAGCTCCTTTATGACAGTCTCTTGTGGCTCGAGCAAAAAAACAGAGTGCAGACTGGTCTCATTGAGTGCTGTGGCCCAGATGGATGTTGGTGGTGAAGCTACTCGATACATCCATATCAAAGCACTCTGCTGAGCCAGAGGACAGCTCTGACATCTGGGTTTAGCAGTGGTTCACATTTAGGGGCATGGAGGTAAACCATTTTAGCAAGAAACCCTGCAAGTTTGACAAGAAAGATCTTGTACATTAGGTTTCTCATCTCGTTGCCACATCTCATCTTTGGGCAGCCATGCTGAGGAGTGAACACAACATCTGAATATGTTTGGGGCTATGGCCCAAGCACTGGGAAATCTGCACTGCTAAAGCCAGAGTAGGCTGCTACAAAATTAATCCTTTGGAAAAGCTCCATTTCCCGTATCTTCTTGGTGGTTAGAGGCACCTCCCTGTGAGAGTGCATTGGCTACTTTCATCTTCATGGTGGAACTTGCAACTATCTCCCAGAGCCCATGGAAGTGTCCTGCCACTGCGTTGTGGGGACCATCTTCTCCCAGAAGGCCTATTACACAGCAGAGATTTATCTGTCATTTTTGGGTGGCACCCTGAGATTGGAGCCATGTGTTAGAGAACTTTTTGTTCCTGCTGCTCCCCTGGGTGCTTTGGGAGTTGTCCTGAAGAACCAGTGTAGCACTTGCAGCAATTCTGTAGCTTAAAGGTGAATGTTAACAAACAGCCAGGTGAAATGACTGTAGAGGAGCAGTTTAGAGATCATCTCTGGGGATTTTTCCCCAGTTTTGCCCTGTTTTCTTTTCAGAAACCATAAGTGTTGTCTGTGTACATGGATGAGGCAGATGTGGTGCAGAGTGGAAGAGGGGGAGGCACTCCTGGTTCTCAGTGGGTCACAAGACCAGGAACAGGCCCAGGTGGATGGATACACAGCAAAGTACTGCCCTCATGGGAGGCACAGGTGGGAACCCACCGCCCTTCCACCCTGTGAAGTAGCTGCACATTGCAAAGTGTGAGGGCATCACCTGAGCGTGTCTGTGGTGTTTCAAGAAGGACATGCAGCCAATGTTGTCTCCCTCTCATCATAATCAGTGCAGTGGGAACAGTTGGCAAATTTGCTGCTACTTTTTCCATATTACCGTTCAGCTTTTGGAACCTAAGGGGGGCTCTACATGTTCATGTCCAAGTTCTCTCTCCTTTATAGCATTAATAGCTTCTGAAATGGTTTTAAGAGCAGCCTCACAGGACCTTCAACAATTGCTGCTGTGTGCGAATCAGTATGACCAAAATCCATTTTTGAAATTTTTCTTTCCTTTTTTTTTTTCTGTGGTGTGTGGGGTTCAACAGTACACAGAAGGAACAAGGGAAAGATCTGATTTTCCACAGAAATCACCAGGTTTGTAGATACAGAGCAATAACGTGAAAGAACCATTTCATGCAGCTGAAGCAGATGGAAAAGCACCCAAGAACAAGAAGCATTTACTCCCCTTCTGCTGCTCATGATTATCCTGCAGTGAAGCTCTGACCTGCCCTTGTTGCTGCCCTTCCAGGAATCTCCCACAGTTCTTGTTTGTTTGATTTTCCTGCTGCTAAACAAATAGCTGCATTTCGCTGGCTTTCTAAAACAGCCCATATGACAAAATGTTACTCAGAATCTGCCCAGTAGGGAAATAAATACAAACTTATCCTTTAATTTCAGCAAAAAAGAAATCATTTTCTCCTGTCTCTTTTGCCTACATATATCCAGAGAATAGAAGGAAGAACATCCAGAGAATAGAAGGAAGAACATAAAGAACATAATGTCCTGTGCTCTAGCACTGCCAGGATGCTGCCATGACTGCTGTGGGTATGGAATGGGTCAGAAGACAGCCTGGCTTTTTTAGGACCATTGCAAGTGAGCTTTCTGTGAAGGACAAACTGTGGGCTCAGACTGAGCTGGAGAGCACATCTGAACCACAGAGGTCAGAAGAAGCAAACCCAGCTATAGCAGAAGTAGGCAAGTGGCAAGAAGATGCTAAATTGAGGTTTAGCATGGAGGACAGGACTGTGAGGTACATGTGGAAGGGACAACTCTCCTATACTGGTTGAAGCAAAGTCCAAAGTCCCCCTTGATTTCAGTGCCAAGGATCAGAGCTATGCCAGCACAAGCAAGAGGCACAGGAATGTGGCCAGGGATGTGGGATTTTTTCTGAAAAAAGCTGTGAAAGGACATGGGGAGATATTAGAGGTGGCACTGGGGGTGGGAGCTGAGGGCATTAGCTGAAAGGTGAAGCAGGATTCTTCACCTTTATGACATGTACTTTGGTCAAGACACTGCGTGTAACAGAGAAAGAAGGCGATAGCCAGGGTACACTGAAAGAACATGTGCACAGCACTGGCCAACCTGGAATTTGATCAGGACACAAAACTCAGCATGAGGCTGGAATATCAGGTCCATTGTGTAAATAACAGCACTTGGACCAAGTGGATCTTTGGAAGGTGGAAGTGAAATAGGCTACCTCTGAAGTCTGGGAACACCACAAACATCTCCATGGAAAGGCTGTCAGAGCAAGTCTTTGCTGCTGAGAGTAGACTCCACAGCATTACCTATAGCTTATTACTTCAAAGAGAAAAAGCAGGCAGGACAAATGGCACTGGGATGCAATGATTCAAGAGTTGCAGTTTTTTCTACAGGGTACTCAGTAAATGCTCCATAAGAAAATTTTCAAGATGGAAGGTGTTTTCTCCAGAGTCCCAAAACCAATGCCCCAAACATTTGCTACTTCTGAAAACATCAGCCCCTACCACGCCCTGGAATATCATCATCTTACACTACAAATGACAGCCTGCATCTCTAGGGCTATGTACACAAGAAACAACTAGGAATAGGTTCTTTTACACAAGACAGGTGGAAAAAGCTCCAAAGAGTTTTAGCAAATGTAGATAAAAAGCATGCACAGCAGAAGATTGGAAACCCCTCACAGAGCAAAACAGCATCTCACATGGAGTGGGATGGTGTCCATTGGCCAGTGACAAAGGACACTCTCCTAAGGCAGGACTCAGTGCCCAAGGGTGCTATAGAGCAGCTACCTGTCCTTGGGAAGCTTACAGGACCAGTTCTCCTTCAAAGTCATAAGCAAAGAAAGTTCTGAAGTGACACCACCATGTCTGGTACACAGTGTCTGCACAGCCTGGGGTGTGAGGAAGGCCAGGCAATGTAACTACAGCAGCTAGAATGAATCTTGCAAGCAATAGTGCTGCTTCCTGGTGTGATGAGGAACAGGGCAAGGAGAAGTTAAAATTATTACTACACTTGAAATGCCATCTCTCTGAAGGGCAGCAGACATTTTGATGACATCCCCAGGTTCAGCACTGGGCGAGGCTGCCCAGTCTCAGAGCCTGAGTTATCTGCTGCCCACCATGCAGAAAGCAGAATCACCACATGGCATGTGGCATTAAAGAAACCATTTCATCTCAGGCTGCTTCTGTGTTATTTGATGTATTTGAAGGTCTCTGGAGACACTTAAAATACAAACATCTTGAGATTTGTATATTCTCAACCATTAAATAATTCACAAATTATTACGATCTCCGGAAATTGCCTTCTAGCTTATGCAAAAACCAGCAAATATTTAAACAAAAACAGTCTGAGTTTCACAGCAGTGTTTAAACAGCAAAGCTGGAGGATTCCTGATTGTCCTTGCGCCACTGGAGAGGATCTCAGCAGCAGGCAGTGTGACATGTATGCACACACAGAGGCTAAGCCAAGGTCATTCCAAGCAGGCTGTCCCCTCCTAAGATGATGCAGAGCCGCTTGTCAGGTTTTGTATTTTTAGCAGGTTTAGAAAAACCTGCCCAATTTATTTTTGAAGCCTGTGGTATGTTTGCTTACAAAAGCATCCCTGCAAAGTGTCAATATTAAGTCAGCTTAAACCCAACCCATTCCCCAGGGACCAGGCAGAAAAGCATCTCCTGGCTTCTGCTGGACTAAGAAACACAAACACGGGGTACCTGCTTCAGGGACACTCCTTCCCCACTCAGTCTGACAGCTAACATCACCAGTATTTGGCCATTTCTTTTTTCTAGAAGCGCTGTCACAGGGACTTAGCTGGAGTGCAGGAAGCAAGTGAGGTTACTTTTTATGCATTTGCATAACTCACCCAGAAACCAAGAGAGGACAAACATTGTCCTCAGGGCATTTTGTTTGTTTGCAAGGCAATCTGACAATTCCTTGGCCTGCAAGCTTTTCAGAGCAGGAATGCATCCTTTTGTGTCTGGAGGAAGCCGACTGTGGGCACAGATCTTCCCCAAGAGCTCTGGGCAGAGCTGCAGCACGATTTGGAATGTTTTGAACTCTGCTTTGTGTTAACAAAGCAGCCACTGGCTCTTCAACACTTCTGCATCTACCTCTGCTGTCTACTGACCCTGAAGAGATGGGCAGAAGGAGAGAACAATCCTCCAGGAAAGTTAATGGCAAAGGGAAAGGCCACCATGGGTGGGGTGGGGGTGTCAGTCCAGCCCTACTCAAAGGTGAAGGCTGTGGCCTTCTGAGATGGATCTGCCATAGGAGAACTGTGCCTGAACTTTGTTCCTGGGATGGGAACTCTGCCCTTCATCCCAGGAAAAAGAAAAAGTCATAAATATACTGCCAGGCCTGGGAAGAAGAGGGCACCAGGAGCTAGAGAAATTGGTTTTGTGGAAAGCAAGCAACGAATGGTCTTTAACACAGGAGCCAATAAATTGTGCAAGCCCTACAATAACCCAGCTCCAATTCCTCTTCGTGCCTGGCTGCAAAGCCCTGGCAGCACTGGGGTTCAGTGTCAGGCAGCAGAGGAACGTGCTCTGGTAGGTGCAGCCTGGGTGTCCCTCTCCAGAATGAGCCAGGAGGAAGCAGCTGCCAACCAAGCCCATCCAGTGGCCAGGCATTTCCTCTCCTGGATCAGGGAGAAGGTGCAGCTCTGCACTCAGACATCTTCCCAGAACTGCTGACTTTCCACAGAAACCCCTGATAGGGTATATCAGGTAAATACGAGGGATGAAGTACAAAAGCAGCTCTTAAACAGCCTAAAATCTCATGTGTAAAGCACAGGCAGTGCCCAGTGAGAATGATTTATTTCTGTGACATGCTTTAACCAAAAATCCTGATGGTTAATTTTGAAGGGTTATTACAAGGGAGAGCTTTTTTCCCCCTATTTTTGAAATGGAAGAGCTGTTGTTTGGGGAAACTTGGATACACAGGGCTGGGATGAAGCAGCTGCTGTCTGTCAGAGCCCCAGTGGTTTAGCCAGACTCCAAGATGCAGCTGCAGGTAAATGTCATCTGCTCCCCTCACCTTCACACGCAAGTGCTGCTACTCATACCCCTGAGCTCCATTTCACCAGTAACTTCAAAATACAAATTAGTCCAAGAGAATAATTTGCATGATGACCCAAATACAAATACAAAATCAGAGTGATTTCCACTTCAGTATGCCCACAAATTACAGCACAGTGTGATACTGCATAGCAAACTCATTCTTCTGCAGAGACACTGCATTTGTGCATTCCCTCAGTTTACAGCCAAGGTTGAAGGCACCCACCCCTCACCCCTCCCACTCCAAGGAGACAAGCAAAGCCAAATTCCTCATCTTAGAGGTTATCATGGAAGACACCCAACAGGACCTTCAAGTGACTAGGTGATCAGGCTCTTCATAACCACTAACCTTCCCCCAGCAGTAAAGATCAAAATATCAAAGCTTCAATCCTCGCTTCTGACTGAGGAAAAAGTTTCTCATTTCTCTTTTTTCCTGAGTGACATCTCCACCAACAGATGTCTTTTCTGGGCAGGGGAATTGTAGTAATTTGTTCTCAAGCTGCAGGTGTTTTCATAGCCTACAAATGCAAACATTAGCTTCATCTTAACCTGACTTCATCACCGAAGCTGAACAAGACATTCAATGTACGACACTATTTCCATAACAGAATACCCTGTGTGCATCTGTTTGAAAGGTTTATTTCTATCTTCATAAATACAGAATTTTCTAAACACTGTGCAAGGCACCAAAAATTAGGTAAAATCTTTTATTTTAGACTATTTTAATCTCTTTTGACTCAATGAAGTAAATAAGAATCTGAAACCACCTATTTGCCAATTACAAGCCAGCAGTTAAGGCAGGTACCATTGATACAGTGCATGAATTTTCTATTGCAGTTATTTAAACAAGCAGCGTTTTACTATAGAAGTGCATATACAAACTGAATTCCAAACACCAGCAACCCAAGATAGGCACCCAGTTATGAAATTTCCTTGTATGTGTAGTAGAATGCCAAAAGTTCTGCCATAAAGTGCAAAGACTATGGACAATAACACTTTCTTTTGAGCATTTTGATACCAGTAACATAATACAACGGCTAAACATTTATAAACATGGTTTCCATTACAAAAACATGTTCCAGATAAAAGCTCCATAATACAATCCAGAAACAGAACTTGTGCGTGATTTCCAAAGCTGAAGCTTTACTGGCAGACTTAGGTACCGGGTATGTCTTTGCTGACCTCTACAGACACGCAGCAAGTTTCAAACCAATTTACACGCACAGTTCAAATCATTCTGCTTTGAGCACCGTGATATCTACTGCGTTTTCCATTTCAGTGACAATGTGTGACATCTGTCCTGGCAATCTGCAACTGAGCATTGCCTGTAAAATGATCTGGTTCACAGCTCTCACCCAGCCCTCCCCAATAAACAGAACCTAAAATTAGTGTCTTCCCAACACAAGCACATGTCAGATGTGGACAAATACATTCATGGTCCCAAACTTAAAACAACTGGTAAGAATTTCACAGTGATCTGGTTACGGAAGCACAAAGACAAATGATTCCATTTAAGATGAAAATTACCTTAAAACTCAAATGAAGCTAATCTTTTATATGATGAGAAGCTAAAGGAACAAAGTATTAACCAATTAGAAAAGTGGCTCTTTCCCAACTAATAACAAAAACCCTACAGCAATAAACTTAGGGTCCTACTGCTGCAGCGGCCTTTGAGGTAGGTGGCGATGGCTTAAACCGAGGTAGGTAAAGTCCAAACTTGTTTTCAATCCCTGCAAAAGTGGCAACTGCCAATTTATAACCACCAACATGATCAGGGTTAGGAGCAGGGAGCGTGATCCTAGATTTAGGAACTGTCTCTGATCCAGCTGGTTTTCTGCAAAATAATAAAAAGAATAAATTAACTTCCATAGAGTAAAGTCAGTATTCACGAAAATCTCCATAAATTTAATGAGACATCTGAGTGTATTTCCCTGTAAGTAACTAAAATGCTGCAATGTAAGGAGAAATGCCCTGTTTTAGAACCTTCCAGAACAGTTAGGCGCCCTCATGTTGATTGAGTACAGTCAAATCCAGGTAAAATTTGCAGTGCATTAATCAAAACTGCTGTGAGGTAGCAGGGGTTCTTTGCTACAGCACACAACCAATCCAGGAACATAGCAGAGTTTAAGTAATTTTTGTGGTGGCTTTCAAACCACTGTCCCCAAAGATCCACAGAATCTGCAGCTGCTCTGGGATCAAGTTAAACAGCTACATGTACATCCACCGGTATTGTCAACAAAGGCAGGAGGCACAGCTGAAATGACAACAAATTTGTTTTGACCTTGGTGACAACTATATATTTTTTTGGATGTCAAATGCCTGTGTAATCAGGGCCACAGCTCCTCCACCAAACAATGAGGACTAAAGCAGAGTGTATCCTGACCTTGCAGGAATCACATTTTTCCTGCATTTACATCCCCAGCCCATTATTTAGCCTCCCACTGTCTCTGTTTACACTAACATAGGTCCCCTGCTTGAAACTGTGATATAAAATATGGTAATATCTTGCTATGAAACAGCTACTGGAATATCATCCCAACCTCCACCAGTAAAGTGTACTTGAAATAATATTTACAAAGTCTTTACAACATGTCCTAGCAAGCTGCTGCCTCTGATATTCCAAGGAGGACCAAGACCCAACAGAACCAAGGGTAACTTCAGGATCCCTGGTATGTTCAGACATCACATACTTACACTCCTCCAAAGTCCACATAAAACCATCTCTGCAGGAGCTCGTAAGTCACCAGAGTTACACCAAACTGAGGAGAAGATCGAAACACGCGAGCTTGAAAGAAAAGAAGAGAGTTCCTCAGTGACAAAGGACACAATCAGAAATCACTTGAAAATCAAAGCTCTTTTACACACCTCCTGCTCCTTTCCAGAGAGCCTTTGGGCCTTCTTCCCGCAGGATCTTGACAAAACAGTCCACAACACCGCTGTAGGTGGTCTGTCCTGCTCGGGCTGCCACCTGGAGCCTTGTTTTGATCACGTCTGCAGGGGTGACCAGAGAGGCTGCAGGCATACCTGAACAACACAAAAGTCATCAGGTGAGTACCACTGCCTTGGTACATGTACTACACACCTAGTTTATCCAGAGGGAAGCAGGTCTTTCCTCCTTACATCAGGAGAATCCAGCCACATCTGATTTAAGCAGAACCTGGGAAGGAGAAGCAACAAGAGGTTGCTGTTGCAGAGCTTCTCCCAGAGGAACAACCATATCGCATGCTTCCTGCCAAGCTGGGAGGCACAGATTGGAGTTTCCAGTGCTAATCAGAAACTTGCATAGTTAATAAGCACAAAGCTTTTGGAGGGAAGGCTGATATTTCCCTTTCCTTTTCATTCCTCTCTGTGGTTCCTGGCATCCTGGTGTACACTGTGCTGTACACAGGCACAAACACAGACACACAAACACCCCTCACACAGCAACCTCACCAAGAACCAGATATTGCCATGCATGCTCAGCATCACTTGAGAGCTAAGGCTTACAAAAAGGGTCATTCTTCTCATTAGGAATGGCAGACTGCTCAGCTGCAAAGCCACAGCTGACATCCTCAGCACAATGTGTGGAGGAAGATTTAAATTTACCCTGGCAGATAATCAACTAAAAGTAAAAAATACCAAATTATCAATGGGTGGTATTTCTAAAATCATTCCTATCCAAACTTGGGGCATGTTTAGAATTGGGAAAAAAAAAAAAGACAAAAAAAGGCAAAGAAAAGCACAAAGACTATACCCAGAAGACACTGTCTCTTATGGTTTTATTACTTTTCCATTCTGCATCTCTTCCAAACCAACTTGGTTACATGTAGATGCATAAATTTCCTTTCCTTTTTTTTTTTTTCCCAGCTCAATAATTCTGTAACAAATTTTATCCAAACCAGTATGGTCTGGCCTCAAGCTCCAGAGCACCCTTCCTGCAGACTGCTCCAAGAGATCAAATCATGTGAATATCACCGAAAGAAGATTTCCTCCTCCTCTCCTTGTCCCCCCAAAATAACTCATACACTGAGCATGCATTCAGTGCAAGCATGGGCTGTCTGGCAGGTAAGCATTAAAACCTGGTCAATGTTTCTGAACTCCAAAAAACACTGAAATTCCTCTTTGCTTAGCTTTACCCACACCAGGGTATTGCTTGAGTCTTCAATTTAAAGCTGGACTTTTGTCCTTCAAAAGCCAACCAGTGTTTTCATGAAAACCAAAGAACTTAGAAACAATTCTGCTTACTACATGTTGACTTCCATCTCCTTATCACTGAGGATATTTTGCACTTAGGATACTTAAAATCCTTTCTTTAGGAACTATGTGTGCAGGACAAAAGCATTTACAGAAAAATCGAAGTTACAGATTGCTGCCAAAAGAAGCTTACAATCAGAATGTGACAAATAGCCCAGCAGGAGCTGACAAGAATCAAAAGGAGCTAGGGCAGGAGAAGGAACTTCATAGAGGCAGTAACAGAGTAAATTAAGGAGAGATCCTGCAGAAGTTTTTAGAATAATCTCAGAATATACTATGGCACAACAGGTTGAGACATCTGAAAACCAGAAGCAGATCTAAGTAGATGACACACGTGTTGCTGTGACCCCAGCCACAATGGAGAGGAAGATGATGTAAGCAGTACAAGCAACACCCACTGGAAAAGGAGACAGATGCACATCTGAGTATGGCTAGCTGGAATACCCCAGCAGGATGGGCTGTGTGTGGGAAGGGGGAGATTCCCACCTGCAGCCAGAGCTCAGGCACACATCTGAAGTCTGATGACCAGGTGAGATCCCTGGCTGGAGAAGAAACATCACCCAGAGACTGAAGGCAGCTTTTCAGAACTGGTGGGTGTTTTGTTCTGTCTTTCCCTGGAGGTTCTTTTGGCAAAACAGTGGACACATGCACCCCCATCACACTTTACATGCACACACAATAAAACAAGTTTCTTGGGTTTATAAACAGTATGATGAGCGTTGTATCTCTAACACTGTAATTTACTCATGAGAGTTAACCTAGGATGGGATTCACAGGAAGCACTGGATAAAATTCACATTATAACTAGATTGGTGAGCCATATCAGCAACAATAAAGAGTGCTTCTGTGCCTGAACTTCAAAGGGACGGTTATCTCAGTCTGCAATCGCCTGACAATGGCTAGAAAGAGAAAAATAGGAAAACCTAAGAAATTACTTGGCTTAAAAATGCCATCTTATGTTTCAAGTCTGTAAATATGATCTAAAGTTCAAAAATTGTTTTGTTCCATTAAAATGGGTAAGAAATAAGCTGGCTGTAAAAGCTCCGGTTGGAGGGTTTGGAGCCTGGCTTTGGAATGGGGTGGGGGAGGGGAGAGGACAAGGGGGTTTTGAGCAGCACTCATTGGAACACAGCTGGCTTTGCTAGTGCCAGCTCAATTCCTTTGGGCTGTGAGATGCTGAATAGGGATCAATATGCTTCAACATGACAAACCAACCAATCCTAGCTGCTCTCCAAGACCAGATACTGGCCATAAAAGGGCCTTGCTCTCAAATAGACACAGCCCTGTGTACAATTTTGACCAGGAAGTTTTGTCAGAGAGGAGAAAGCTTAAAATTAAATGAGAAAACATTGCTAAACCACCTGTCCGTACTGGATTCACACCATTCCATCATTTTTCTCAGTCTGCCAGGGGCCATGCTGGAGAAGGAAGCTGCTGGACAGACCAAGCAGCCCCCAATAATCAGATACCACCTGATCTGAGCCCCCCTGCTTGCTACACACTCCCCTAAAGGTCCTGCTGCACAAATTTGCAAGCCTATTTGTTTCCTAGGTGGGAAACCGTGGAACTCTCAAGCTGCCCCCTCCAGCAGACAGCTACCCCGTGGTGGTCTCCTGTGGGTGTAGAAGCTGTGGAGGGAGCAGCCATGCAGCAGACAAGGACAAGCTCAGGCTTACAGAGCCTCAGTCTTCTCCCTTAGGCTCTGGCACACTCAAGCTAAATTCATCTGTGAGAAGCTAAGCATGTTTGGGCTCTTCTGTCTCTATGCAGCAGACTAAAACCACCAAGTGCTCAAGACCACACTCCACACCTCTATTATATCTGGGTATATCACAGGAATTAGCAACCTGTGGCACTGCAGCAATGTTCTCAAGATCTTCCTCTTTGTTTAATATTTAAGAAAACGTATAAAGGTAAAATCCTCAGGAAGCCAAGTAACTTCAATGGGATACTGAGGATAGCAAATACTGTCATCATTTTGTCACCTGTTATATCATTGTGTTTGGAGAGCTGTACTTCCAGTTGGCTTCTGGACTACATATACCAAAATTCAAGATTCGCTCAATCATAAGGAATTTTATTGATGCCATGGTTGTGTTTATAAATAATTACAATAAAACATTACCTGACAGTGAGACACAGCCAAAACCAGCATAGAAACTTCACAAGGAATGATGATAAATGATTAAAAAAAAAAAACAGCAAAAAACTTTATTATCCCTTTCTTTTGCTTTCTGAATGTTATGATTTGTTATGATTATACCAGGAACTTACAGTATCTTCAACTCACTCTACAGCACAGTAACTTTGTTGTTTTTGTAATAAGGCTGCAAAACACAATATTGTTGCATACAGTCCTTTTGAGCATTTTTTGTTATTGTTGTCACTGCCATAACTGCTGTGCTGCCAGAGCAATATAGAGCCACGAAAAAAGAAATCTGGGCACTTACCAGCTATTGATCCAGCCAAGAGCAGATTTCCAGGGCTAACCCTCCCATCTTCATTTGTAAATGAAGCTTTCAGATGAGCATAACAGGGGAAGTAAATGGCAGAGAAGGGGATGTCACGCAAAAAACATGCCTTGGCACCCTGTTTGAAAAAGAGAACAAGCTTTGAGAATGAGCAAATTTACCTTGATGAGCCATGAATATCAGAGAACAGAGCAACTTTGTATTTTTTCAGTTTGCTGCAAAGGGCTTACAGAAAAAGCAGTTTCTCCCTCAAAATTTTGAGAGATTCATGTGTTTCACCCTGCTGAGGAGTGTCTCTGTGTTTTTTCTTGGTTCAGTAATTTCTGTCATTGTATGTATCTTATCCACTTCTTCTCCCTCACTCTGAGGTACTGTAAATGGAGATAATACCAAGTGTTTGAGTAAACTCTGAAAACACCTTTGGAGGGCTTTAAGTAGTTGACCTTGTAGCCATGAACCTGTAGCGAGAGTTTAAAAACTGTTTGAAACAGAGCCCCAGGATAGGTCTGCCACCTCTCACTCCCACTTTAGATTAATACTCCAGGGGAAACAGTGCCCAGTCCATTCCTCTATACAGGCACTATAATTGATAATGCAACATATATTGAGGGAATAGGGGAATTAACAGCAAGTCTTTTTGCAGAAAAGTAACTGCATTACTTACTTGTGAATTTTTAAGTACAAGTTATCTGGGATACAGTTTGTTTCAATAACTTTCATCTCTTAAATTTGCCTTGCTATCAATTTGTGGAAGTAGCACAAACAGCCAATAAAGTTACCAGCAATACAGCTGGTTTCAAATCCAAGAGGGAAGCAAACAGGAAAGGAAATTTTTGGGGTAGAAGCAAGCAATCAAATGTCTTTCAAGCAGGGGGAAAAGCAAAAGGGCCACTAGGGAATGTCAGCCAAAATAAAATACAAAATAGTATTCATGGTCCAACAGCAAAAGGGATTTGTAGTCTGCCTTTCCACAGAATGGAGATCCAAAGGAGAGCAGAGCCTGCCAGGATTATGACCAGGAGAAAAGCACAAACAAGAGGTGGCTTGGGAAAACGGGTAAAATCTTTCAAGCTTGAGAAAGAAATGGTTCATGGATGAGCCTAAGCCTCTTCTCTTTGAAGCAAGGGTGGAGACCTGGTGAAACTGCTTGAGGTTCATCCACAAACCCTCGGGGGGTGCCCTTGTTACTGCACTTCTCTTGTTCACAGGTCTAGGAGCACATGGCTCAGTGCCAGACATTTCACAGGGGACATGTTAATATCCACATAATTTAATTACATCTAATGATATGCCTGGACACATCTGTAAGCTTAGCTTGTATTATAATACCAGTTAAAATATAGCACTTATCCAAGTTAGATGCTGGTTATCAAAGACAAAAGAGCTGCAAGGTGTCAGAAAAGCCATGAAGATGCCTTTCCAGGAGGCAAGGCAGGCGAAGGCAGCAGGATGTGTGACAAGATAACCAGGTCCTGCAAGCTACTTCTCAGGAGACTCTAATAAGTGCAGTTTGCAGTCAGAGACTGCCTCTGAAAAAATAAAGATTTATGTTAAAAAGCCATTAGATGTTGTAGTCAGACTTTCTGTGTGTCACAGACTCAGCTACTGAACACAGGGAGCACAACAGGTTCTGCTCCAGCCTCCAGTGCTTCCCACCACACTTTCTCGGCTCATTTCTTGATGTTTCAGACTAAGCACTGACCACTTCCCCTGACACTCCCTTTGGAGATTAATGACTTCTGCAGTTCAGATCCTCTGGCTTCTCACTCAGCTGGATGTCTGATTTACGCTGCCCATCGCTGGTTCTTGTTGTGCCTTTATAGAGACACTCAGAAAATGCCACAAAGGAACTCCAAAAGCCCTGGGGTTGGTCCTGCTCTGCCCCTTATGCCCCACCTTGAGGACACAGAGAAGGTGAATGTTCTATACTCAACAGGGACCAGGATTCTGGACTCTCTTGTGCAACAGAAGACTGTTGAACAATTTACCTTTAATCTTCACATAGACAAGACTAGAGTTTTACCAACTTCTGCATGAAAAATCCCAACATTTTAGGGATCAAATGTCTGCACAGTATTTACTTCATAGAAAAATTATGAGACTCACTATTGAAACATTCACAGACTGACATGGTTTCTTCAAAGATTTATTTTTAGAGCATGCATTTCCTCAGAGCAAATCTCCTCGCTGCCTTTGCCCTCAGGGCACATTACTTTTATTTTCTTTGCAATGTCATTAAACACTGCACACATTTTTTTTCCTCTGCATTTTTTGCATACCCTGAAGTATACTGATATAGAAAGTCCAAATGCAAGCAACTCTCAGTTCAACCTGAGCTGCTAATATTCCTCCCCCCTCATTAATAGGCTCTTTTTCACGGGGCAGAAGTGGCATATTGTTAATATCACTAATAATATACATTCAGGTATGCATCCTTCCTTCAGTTGATGGAAGGATGTCCATCAACTTAGCTGGCTCAGTGTAAACAAAACCTGGATCAAAACTTGGATCACTTTAATAATAACCAGGCTTGGCTCTGGTCCAGCATTGCAACAGTCTAAAGTTTCCCCCCATCGTTCCGTTTAAAGTCTGGGAAAGCATGTTCAAAAGCAGGCCCCATTTAACTTCAAGTTAATCATCCGCAACCAGCCTAGGCCAATTAGGAAGGCTTAGGGAGATTGGCCACAGTACCTTGAAAAGCAAAAGAAACATTTATTTTACTTCTCGCACCTTTTTGATGTGGACAACGTGCTGAAAGCCAAAGGGAGTTTTAATCAATCCCCAGAAAGCAGCAAGGAGCATCCACCCGAGTTTATTCTGGCGGCCAAGGTGCAGACCTGCCAGGCATGAAATTGTTGGGAGATCCTACACACCGGGACATGCGCCTTCCTCGAACAACAGCCCTTGGCTCCCATCTTCAATCTCTTTAATAACCTTAAAGCTCTTAATCTCGGATAGTATCTCACTGAATAAACCAACGGAGGAAAAAAAACCCTGATTGTCAAAGATTTGGATAAATAAACCCAAGTCGGTGCTGGGGCAGGTCCTTTAGCATGCTAATTCCTGCTTATACCAGCTCTACCTGCAAATAAGGCTCTAAACAAACTATTTCTACTACAAGGGGAGGGTAATTATACTGACAAAGGCACCTCTGTGTCGGGTTGGGCAGAAGGAGCCGGCAGGTCTGGGAGACGCAGGCTTAGCCTAGTCTCCTGCAGTGAATGCACATTGTCTAGTGCAGGGGGAAAAATGCCAGACTGGGGGAACCTAGCAGCATTCAAGACAACAGTGGTGCACCTTGTCTGCGAGAGTTATTTAATGCTTCTGGCACCTGTACTTGCAGCCACCCCCTCTTTTTCTCTTTTACAGGTTTAGAATTTATTTGGCATGTATAATTGTTATTTTGATCCTATAGCTACAAACAATAGGCAGCATGTCATTTCTTGATCATTTTGCATTCTTCTTGGGTTTTACTACAGATTTAACCCTTTGGAATCGGAGCCCTAACAGCACCTAACAGGTTTTGTAGCAGTCAGTCAAATATTACTGGTATTTGCTTTCAGGGGCTGCATTTTTTTCCCCACTGTAAAATGGCATTGCCTTAAAAGCTACCATAGGTTTTCATTCACATATATTTATACCAACCAAACTATGAAATTCATGTAGAACATCACATTAGAGGAATAAAATACCGATTTCAAATGCTCTACCAGCAATTTGAATTCAGTTTGCAGGGAAAAAAAATATAGCAGTTTTAGTTGGAAGGGCGTTTTTTGGGTTAATTTGAAAGGAAATTTCTGAAAAGCAGGTTTTTACATATGAGAACAGTCACAAATAGGCATGGCGGATGCAAAATGTAACTAAAAACTTTTACTACAGTCTTCATATGTTTATCATCCTGCTGTAAACTCTCAGCTTCAGAACATGAAATAGCTCAGCTGTTATCAAAGGAACCAGGTGAGAGCTTGGTATACATCCTGTCACTTGAGATTACACTTTCCAGGTCAACACACCAGAAGCTTGTTTATGAAGCATTTGGGGGGAAGGGAGAGGAGGGGGGAAAAAGAGACTTTTGGAAGCTTTTCTGACTAGTTTTGGAAATGAAAACTTGGTTGGCAGTATCAGCCAAAGCACAAATTTGAGCTAAATACCTTGTAGCAATTATAAAAATAAACATTACCACAACCAATGTACCTTTTCCTTGAAGACTCATTTACCACTCTATTATTTACTGTCTTCCTGGGATACAGAATAACTTTGTTGTGCAAAATTATGAAGTGGCACTGTCTGTTATGCTGTAAAGCATTATTCAGAATGATTATGTATAAGAGGAGTAATATTCTAGTAAACATTCTGTGGCAGACATTATATGGATATGAGTTTTTGTGATGTACAAAATGAGTAGGTATACTTATAGTATTTATTTACATGGACACTTTAAAGATGTCTTTCAAACCCAATAGAATATAAATTCAACCGACTTTAACGGGACTTTATTCATATTAAGTTGTAAGACAGGCAGAAGACAGAAAATGTATTATGTAATCTTGGATGATTACTTCAATATTCAGTTGTGACTAGGAATTAAATAAAATCTATTAAAAATATCAAAAACAAGAAAAGTATCCTTTGCCATTTCTGCCAACACAAATGACAATTTGCATTAATTTAAGTGATATTTTCCCTGACTGCAATATGTCGTCTCTATATTTTTAAGAATAGTTGTCACCTACAGAGTACCTTTAGCTAAAGAATTTACTAGTCACAAGCTTCAATGCCCTGGTGCTTTCACAGTAAAGATTACTGGGAGAAAGAAACACAAATAGAGGAAATAAATTCCCTCTGCAAAAGTGTTGTTATGTACCTCCCCAAAGCGGCATCTGGATTTTGAGAAGTACAGTGTTTTAAAATACTTATTTATACAAGTAGTTCAGAATTTTAGACAAAGACAGAAAAAAATATTTGCTTTCTAGCTTTAAGGAACTACAGGGGTTCAATCCAGCCATCAGCTTAACAAGCTGTATGTGTCAAATCTTTTTATTGCTGGAATTAACATGCATTTTATTTCTAAGCTGCATATCATTACAGAATGGCTAATATCTGACCACCCAGTGAAGG